TTGCATCGCCGTTGCATCGCCGTTGCATCGACGTTGCATCGTCGTTGCACCGTCGTTGCATCGTCGTTGCATCGTCGTTGCATCGTCGTTGCATCGTCGTTGCATCGTCGTTGCATCGTCGTTGCATCGCCGTTGCATCGCCGTTGCATCGCCGTTGCATCGCCGTTGCATCGTCGTTGCATCGTTGTTGCATCGTCGTTGCATCGTCGTTACATCGTCGTTGCATCGTCGTTGCATCGTCGTTGCATCGTCGTTGCATCGTCGGTGCATCGTCGGTGCATCGTCGTTGCATCGTCGTTGCATCGTCGTTGCATTGTCGTTGCATTGTCGTTGCATTGTCGTTGCATTGTCGTTGCATTGTCGTTGCATTGTCGTTGCATTGTCGTTGCATTGTCGTTGTATTGTCGTTGTATTGTCGTTGTTTTATGGTTGTATTGTCGTTTATTGTCGTTGTATTGCCGTTGTATTGTCGTTGTATTGTCGTTGTATTGTCGTTGTATTGTCGTTGTGTTGTCGTTGTGTTGTCGTTGTGTTGTCGTTGTGTTGTCGTTGTGTTGTCGTTGTATTGTACCTTCGTAAAAAGCTCGAAAAACTGTGTAACTACGGATTTTGACGACACAAGAAGTATAAAAAATATTTAACTTATTATGAGTTATACCAATCAATGACTATTTGTATATATGAGTTATACCAATCAATGTCTGATTTAACAAAACTTGAAAAAAATCACTATCCGGCGGATAGCGCTATGCGGCCTTCGTACAACCGGCCCCTGGAGGAAATTAACCTACGGTTAGATTTAACACAAACAATGCATAATCTGCAGGAATTTTTAATCTTTATACTCTGCTCACAGGAAGAAAATGATTTTTTCCACCCCTGACCCAGAATAAATTGCCCTTATAGGCCAAGTATTAATTTTATCATTGTGTTTTAATATAAGTGTTTTGTCAATTATTGATAACTGTAAAACGTCCAAGCAAATTAAGTGCTATAGATGTCTTTTTTGTTGGGAAATATGTCTGACTTTATAAATGCTCACTTGAAGAAGATCTAAGTACAGGTAGTTTCTGGGATGCTTTCATCCATATAAACAGTTCATCATGCATTCTGAATTTTTATCTGAAATACCCAATTGATACCCTTGTATAACTAACATAACATATTCTGATCATGGTCTCTTGTAACTACGGTATAGTAATACAGTATATACATAGAATTAGGTTTCATATATATATATATATATATATATATATATATATATATATATATATATATATATATATATATATATATATATATATATATATATATATATAATACTATATATATATATATATATATATATATAGTACAATCTGCAGACATGCATGTTTCGGCGTTCAACGCCTCGTCAGTGCAGCTTGGTACACGTCTAGATACGTGAGACACTCGTATATACCCCATAAACCTGCTCTCACCAAGGCATGTGGTACAACACGGTTACTCAACGCATCCAGACATGCGCAGAGCGTAATGGAGCCAGAGTGCTCGAACGACCACAAGGGAAGTGAGCTTTGTATTATCGCTAATAGACATCCATTAACAACTCCGCAGAGTGCTCAACAACACCGAAGTGAAGGAGCGTAATAGTACAATCTGCAGACATGCATGTTTCGGCGTTCAACGCCTCGTCAGTGCAGCTTGGTACACGTCTAGATACGTGAGACACTCGTATTAATACCCCATGAACTTGCTCTCACCAAGGCATATATGGTACAACACGGTGACTCAACGCATCCAGACATGCGCAGAGCGTAATGGAGCCAGAGTGCTCGAACGACCACAAGGGAAGTGAGCTTTACATTATCGCTAATAGACATCCATTAACAACTCCGCAGAGTGCTCAACAACACCGAAGTGAAGGAGC